TATAGAAATTGAATGAATAAATAATTCTAATTTATTCCACCAGCAATGCAATTTCCTCTTCCATACTACTATTATGATTACAGAGTCTGGATTTCACAAGATAAAGGAAAAATGACACATCCAGTTTGGATTGAGGAATATTAACCTAACTTGTGGCACTGAGCCCTTCTTTCAAATGAGGAAAGTCCGGAAAAGTAAAAAAGAAACATGAACAATTTTCAGAACATGTGAAGCAAGAGATCAGAAAAGGTGGTGCCCCTTTATAACTTTTATGAATGTACCAATGGACTATCTGGTGTAGCATGATTGTGGAGGGTTGTTTTGCCAGATTGCTAAAAGAAAATGACAGTTTTAACTTGATTCTTCAAAATAAATAGATACACAAAACTGGTTGTTGTTGTTTTTTGAGTCTCTTCTTCTGTTGTGGGGAACTTCCAAGTTTTATCACTTTCACTACCTAATTTCATGGCTTAGACCTGCTTTGACATTAAATTGAACTGTTACTCTGCTTGCTTTATATACTAGCTTTCCACCCAAGGAAGACAGGCAATAAAGCAAACTGCACAAGAACATAAAAGCCTGGAAAAAAGAGGGGAATGCATTAGAAGAAAATGCATACATTTGAGCCAAATATCACAAAGGAGTCAAGACACTGTGTATGTTTTCCTCTGTTGTGAGTGGGCTCACTCTGAGCGGGGTGCTAATTTGACCAGGGTGCTAATCTGTGGCTAGTTTTTCCATGGAGCTACTTGATATTGAATTCCTAAGCTAGATTCTTGGGGATATCTGCACAGAGACTTCCATGAAAACCACCTGCAAAGTGTTTGATATCCCTCCCCTTTTAAAAATAAAATAAAAAATAAAATAAATGTAAATATAAATGTAAAAATAAAAAATAAAATAAAAATCCAATGGCATTTCCCGCCAAATTGAAAGTACATTGGGGATGCTAAAAAGAAGAATAAAATTCCTCATCAATATTTAAGATGAATGTCAAGTAAAATTGCCAGGTTTCAGATCACTGTGTCATATTTTGAAATGTGAGCAGCTGCCGCTTTTGTGGATTCTGACTGTTTTTTTATGATAGCATCAGTGATCTCCCTGATCTGTTGCACTGGAAGAAGTATTTGAATAATCAGAGCAGACAAACATAATCTAGGTCTCTCTCTCTCCCCCTCCCTCCCTCTCTCTCTCTCTCTCTCTCTCTCTCTCTCTGTGCGTAAGAGAGAAATACATAAAGGGAAATAAATGATAAAATTTGGAATGAAACGTTACTCCCAGAGAAAAAGCATTTATATCAAGTTCTGCAGTTTCAGCCAAACAGATCTTTAGGAAGGATTCTAACTCAGACATTTACTAAGGATTATATTTCATCCTAGGAGCATTTACTAAGTGTCATGACTTTGATACTAGTTATTGTGTGCATGTGTGTCTGTGTGAAATTTTCCATTCCAGCAATGCAGAGCAGGTCCCATGCCCATAGCCAGAAATTTTATGGAGGAAGGGTGTCACAGCCCAGCCTGTAAGAGCACAGCTTTAAATCAGGAGCAGGCAGCAGGAGACTCTGCAGGCATTCTTGGCCTGCAATACCCATCATCTATCATTTTTAGTCAAGCCACCTAGGGCTGACACAAACTCAAATAAGACTTGTATCTATGTAACATATATTTCTCAATTGTTTTAGTTCCATTGCAGTATTGGCAGGTGGGGGCATTTTTTCTTTTTCCATAGAATATAATTGCTCTATATATTTCCATCACTCTCCCTCCCTCCCTCCTTCCTTCCCTCCCTCCCTCCCTCCCTCCCTCCCTCCCTCCCTCTCTCTCTCTCTCTCTCTCTCTCTCTCTCTCTCTCTCTCTCCACAGTTCTTTCCTATAGCATATTAAAAACAAAATAGAACAAAACCTAATGGCTTCTTGTCTAAAGGTGCATTGTTCAAAATTGTTTGCCCTCTTACTGTGAAAATCTTCCATAAATATTTTGCATTTTAAAAAATACCAGCAGTTTCAAGCTATATCAGGTTATATCAGGATTGTCATGATTTCCTAAAACAATAAATGAATTTGCATGATCCCCGCATGAATGCAACCAATTATTTCATTAAGGTTAGGGTTGGACAGAAATGAATGTGTCACTTGCTTTTAATAATTAAAATTTAATGTAGCAAATAAAACAATGATAGAACCTTGCAATTTCATAAAATAAAACTTTTTCCTTGGAAATAAGCAATAAAATCACATGTATGTTTAATGGGAAGAATACTCTTGCTTTATATATATATAATTCCTGAGATCTAGGTTTTATTGGTACAGTCATGGCATTTCTCATTTCACACTGTTTTGGGTCAAGACCTGTTCTTTTATAACTGCTACTGTAGCAGATACCAGCTTTGTTATCCACTTATCTAGGCAGATCAGGAGCAAGTCCTGCCAAAGACCCAAAGTTTGTTGTGCAACCTATCAGGTCATGTTCTTGGCACTCCACTTTGTCTGGAGGCACCAGCTGTTAGGCTGCCCAGGTGGAAGAGTGAATTCTGAAGGCAATCCAGCTTTAGGTGGACCAGCTAAAGCTGTGACAGAACAAGCAAGCTGCTTGGTTGCCTAAAGTTCTGACAGTAATCCAAGTACGGGTACAAACCTTTAGGTTGGCACAAGCAAAGATGGAGCCAGACTATATTCCAGGCTTTTTGTTTGGGTTTGGTTGGACAAGCTGGTTCATCCAGAATAACTGAATGTGCTTTGTGACTATGGTCCTCCTTGTGTGCACAAACTCTGTCTCCAAATTTGCAAGCCTCCCCACAGTTTGCCTGCAATGTTAGAGGGGGTTTGTGACTCAAAGTTTAATCTCCCCTGCCTTATATAACATGAAATGAATATAAAATTACTTTTTAAATACTTTGAGAAAATATTACTCCTATATTTAATGTTTTGCAATTGTAAAAAAATATTGACTAGAGCTGATCGTTCAAAGATATTATGATCACGCTCAAATGAGCTTAAAAACAAATAACAGCCTCCACCCCAAGGAGAAAAACCTTTCATTTCACCCGTGTCTATGACAGTGTGTCAAATATTGTTGAATTTGTGTCACTGTAAAGGACAAAAACGTTTCTGTCAACTAAAAATCTGCAGTGCCTTGGACAGCAGCAATATCTATACTGACTGGAAATTATAAGAATTGTACATCAGGGCGTTAGGTTGGGAAAAGCTTAGAATAATTTAAAATAAAGTTATATTCAGCCTTTTTTTTGCAAGCTATGGATTTCATCTTCTTCTATACTAATTTTGTTTGGCCTTATCATACTTCACCTAAGAGCAGCATCAGATACATTTATCTGCCCTTCTCAATGCTCATTTTCAATAGCCACAAGTTGATGTAGCTCAGACATGTTACGCACAAGGCCCAGGGGCCGGATTTTGTGGTGGCCATCTTGGCACTTGCCCTGGTGGACTATGCCTCGGCACTTGCTCTGATCCCAACCCCTTCTGCCAGAGACCCTCAGATCTGTCCCACTTCTGCCCAGGCCCCCACAGGCACCCTTGACGCAAATGATGTAGAGCTGGCCATGCCCACCCGGTAGACCACACCCACTCCATCTACGCCCACCCAGTAGGCTGCACCCACTCTAGCCACACACACCCCCAGGTCAATCGCAATGCTGACGCAGCCCTCAGTGAAATTGAGTTTGACACCCTGATGTAGCTGGATGTCATCAAGGCAGCTTTTGTCCAGCAATATTGTATATACATAACATACTATTTGAAAAACTAATTCTGTGTCATTGGAAGAAACTCTTACACTTCTCTCCAAGACAGTTGGCATTTTTCTTTACTAAAAGGCAAGGCACCTGGAAGGTTTTCATTAAGCATTAGGAGATCTTGGAGAGGATGACCTCTCTAGACACTACCATTATTTTCCAAGTGATAATATGCTTTTCTTCCTGGATCGCTTAAACACCCTGAAGACAAAAGAGAAATTTAAAAACTCCAGGCTTATTAAAGAAAAGGCAGGAATGACCATTTTCTAAAAATAGGGATTCATTTTTGGGAATTTTGGCTGATGGGATCCAGAAGAGGAGCCTTTTCTGGCGGCTCCCTCCCTGGTCGCGTCTTCGGAGCCGGGGAGCGCTTGCGCATTCCGCCCCGCTTCGCGAGCCGCTGTCCAGTGCTGAAATTCCCGTCGGAATTAAGTTGAGGCTGAAGCGCTCAAATGCCTCGCGTGAGGTCCGCGGAACGGACGGGCAGCTTCCCTCCGGAGCTCAAAGCCGTCGGCGGGCCAACATCCCTTCTTATACACGACACGTGTCCCTCCTCCACCTCACTTAGAGAAGGGATCCGGGTTCAAGAGAGTTCCTCAAACTGCCCAGTTCAGAGAGGCTTAACCGGCTTGCTTTATTCTCTGCCCAGGGCACGGGACCCCAGGCTTTTTGCCTCCCCCTGAACCCAGACTCCGTTTAAACAAGGTTAAGCGGAGTTCCTCGGTTCTTCTCTCTCGGGGCCAGCACAGCATAGTCGGTGCTTCCCTCACTGCCAGGGCAAGGGGCAGGCGGGGCGGGGGGAGGGGAAGGGGGCTCGCGGGTCTTGGCTGGTCCACTCGTCGTTAGTTGGAAACGCCTTTGCTGCCGGTGGCCCAGGGGAGCCTTCCTCGCCCTTGCTGTCCCCCCCTTCTTCCCGGCTTTTGCCCCCCCCCGGAGGTCCCTGTCTTCCCCCCCCCCCCGGGGCTGCTCAAGGAGGCAAAAAGTAGCCCTCGCGGCGCCCTAATGATTGGGCGAGGTGCCGTTACATCACGTTTCCTGGGCTGCCTCCCTGGTTTTCTTGCGCTGAAGAGAAAAGGGCGCGCGCGCGCTTCTTAGTGGGAGCGGGAAGCACATCTGGGAAACCGCAGGCGGCGGCGGCGGCGCGAGGCAGGGAGAGAGCGGAGCGCGGGAGCTTCTCTTCTTCTTGAAACGGTGGGCCAGCCGGCGGGGGGGGGGGGAGAGAAAGCTCCCAACTCTTCTGGGGTCGGAGAAGGAGACGAGCCTGCAGGGCGACGAGATGCTCCGAGCCGGGTCCCAGGAAGCAGAGCCCGGAGGGCGAGGGGCTCTCCTCCTCCTCCACTGATCGGCACTCGCGACCCAAGCTCAAAGGAAAACAAAAACGAAAAAAAATGGGCTTTGAGAACGCCACGGAGGAGAAGCGCTGGGGGATGGCTGGTAAGTTTTAGCCCGGGAGAGCGGGCGCCTCGCCTGCCCGGGGGACCCGACGGCCGCGCCAGCCTTCCTTGCTAAGGGGCCACAGGGCTCCGTTCAACGCCGGCCGGAGATCCAGGGGCCAGCAGGAGTCACGGGCCAGAAGCGATGGCCTCCAAAAGGCAAACAATGACAAGGTTTGCGGCGGGGGGGCGGCACAATCAGAAGAAAATGGAGGGGGGGCTTTCAGAGGGAAGAGAAAGCTGTACTCCTTTCTTTCAACTTTCCTAGGTCCCGTTGCCTCTGCTACCTTCTTTCCTTTTCCGCTTTGTTCTTCCTTTCTGATCTTCAAGCCTGCCTGTGTTGAGAAGCATAAAAAGAAATGTGGCATATTTCCCCACATCTGGTGACCTCCAGAGGTGTTGAGCGACAACTCCTGTGGCTCCCGGTTAGCATGGAGGTGGGCGCTAGTCAGAGAGGGCTGGGGAGCGAATCTAAAACAGAACTGATGAAGACGGATAACTCTCACAAATAGTAGCAAGGGATCTTGGAATGAGCGGCACAGGGAACAAGCAACCAGATTTCCCTTTGCTCAACCAGTGTGTAGGGAGTTTGGGGTGGAAAGGACACTCTAAGAGCAGGAGAGGGGTAGGTTGGACCGGCTCTTTGCTTTGATTTTTGGGTTGGCTCAGGAGCAGATACTGCAATCCGAACCAAGGGGACAGACATCTGAAAGCTTACTTTGAATAAGAATCATTTGCCTTCTTCATGGTCAGAACTTAATCCTGTGAAGTAATAGAATGGTTTGGTCTGCAATGAGAGATATTATTTCTGCATTTTTTAAAAGATTGGACAGTGACAATTTATCCCTCCCCCCCCCATCCCATATTTGAAACCAGTATGGCTCCCCTGGTTGGCTTAAGTTTAACATAATTATAGGGATCAGCTCTTCCTCCCTGCAATTATTTCCCCGAAATCCATGGAAAAGAGAGAAAATAATTGGCAAACATCTCTTATTAGAGAACACATTTCTGACAACCTATCTATCCCAAATTAGAGAGTTTAATGTTAGGTCTCTTGAATGAATTGCCATTTTCAGATCCAGGATTATGTAAATATGGATTATCCCTTTGAATAAATCAGTGCCATAAGAAGAACTTGACAACCGTGGTGGATCTCAAAAAGCTAAGCAAGATCAGACGTAGTCAGCGCTTTAATGAGAGACCACTAAGAAATACCACCAGGCTACAATTTAAATTGTTGCATACTGTTGCCAAGAAAATTGCCAGGATGTGTCTGTGAAATAAAAAGGAATTGATTTTGACTCAATGGAGTAATTGCTTTGCTTGTTTGAGTTGCTTTTTTTCATTTCTATTCCACTGTGGACATTTAGGGGTAGAGACCAACTTAAAAAAGAACCATTGATAAGAGTATCTGATTAGTATATTAGCATTTAATGAGTAATACATATATGGAATTAACTATTGTGTAGGTCACATGGTAGTCTGGATAATTACAGTCATTGATCTTACTCATTATTTAATCACTTTTAAATATTAACAATGTGACTTCATTTTAAAATGAACTTTTATCTTATATTAGTCAATGTGACTACAAACCCATGCAGAAATTAAGTTTACTTGTTTTTATCATTTTAAGAGCATCCTTTCACACTGGTATTTCATATATAATTTTCAGCAATAGAAAGGCATCATAACATTAGCCTTGTGGATTTAATTACATGAGGGAGATATGAGAGAGGCAAAGGTTTCAGAATATGGATATTTGCAATGCTATTTCAGACTAAGGGTAAATAATGAGCTGCAACATGACATATTGTATTTTACTGCAAGCGTTGTAGTTTTGATGGCAAGAAGGGGCTGCATGTGGGTGTGCTTGCACCCACATGCATATTTGTATGCATAGTTGTACCTATTGAAGTATTTATGATACATATGGTGGGGAAATTTGACTAAGGAGGAACTCATAATCTATATCACAATACATTAATTTAAAAATCAGAGGCAAAGTAATTGATAAGCTATTAAAAAGCACTTTCTATGCAAGGGTATTTGGATGTTCAGGGATATTTGGAGGGGGAGAAAAACTAATAGTAGCCTCTAACATCTTTCATTTCGAAACTAAAAAGCTGGTTACATAAACTTACCAGAATAGGATATAAATTGTATGATTTTTTAAAATACATTTTGGTGTACATGTTTTTCAATAAAACTCAGTACTGTTGCATTCCATGAAGCTTACTCACAAGAAAATAGATACAAGACTGTAGTCTGCAAATCACAAAATGTGAATTATTTCCTCTCTTGATAGATGTTTTCTTTTATTTTTGTCTGTCTTTACTTCAAAGACATCTAGATGCAAATTCCTTTTCTCTGATGACCCATACTTGAATTATACCCATTTATTTGTATATGTATTTTAATAACTATGGCATTATTCAGAAGCCATTACTCCCTTCCCACTGAAGAATGTAAAATGACTCAAAGTAGTCCTGGATAGCATAGATCAGAGGTCCCCAACCTTTTGGGCACGTGGAGAGAGGTTTTTCCGCAGACTGGAGGGAGCATGGTTTTGTGTGCTGCCTGCATCCCACAGATGGGGCTTTGCTTGTTTGTGTGGCCTGGTTTTTGCCATCCCATGGCCTGGTACTGGTCCACAGACCGGGGGTTGGGTACCCCTGGCCTGGATAACATGAGCTCCTAAAAATCACAGTCTTCCCTTTCCTATGAACATATTTGAACAATAGCTTAGTTTTATTCTACTAAATTCTTCATTTGTATGGCATCCCATTATAAAGGTGTAGAATTTAGTGACATGACAGTAAATACCTCTAGATATCTTGGCATCTTAGTAGCCACCTTATTTCTACTTTTTCTCTGCCAAAGAAATGTTGCTTTATAATAACAAAGTGTCTCTAATCATCTATCCACAGAAGTCTGTTGATGATGGTTGGTAACTCTCCAATCGTCTATCCATAGAAGTCTGTTGATGCTAGTTATGGCGTATCAGTTTTATCCAATTTTGTGTCCCCAAGATGCGTTGGATTATGTCATTCACAGCTGGTATGTCCCATGAATAGCCAAGATAGCCAAGGGAGTTATTTAAGCTGTTTTGAATACCTCTTTTCTTGTTGGAATTATATGATAGGAAACCTATTATTATTCTTTTGGACAGGAATAGTGGCCATACATTTTTAAAACAAACTTCAAAAACAGCTACAGGACATCTAGTTGGGGAAAGGTGATCTTTATAAAGTGGACTGGTGGAAGTAGAAATCCTGATTAAGTTAGACCGAAAAAGTTAGTTAGATCACCTTCATATGAATAAAAAGGCATAAAGTAAAAACATCTGGTGTCACTTCCCATCCCACACATATTTGTGCTAAAAAACACACTCACACATATACGTTCTTATTACACAAATGCCATATGCAAAAATAAATGTCCATGTGATGTTGATATAGAAGATATTTATGTGCAGTTGGGCTAATTAAAGATAAATGGAACCTTAATTTACCAAAAATAAGCTGGATTTGGAGATGTGTCAAATAACATTTTTCGGGTTGCTACATTTGAAACTCAATTGCATAAGTTTTCATTAACTGATTCATAAGGTTAAAACTGAAATCTTTTGAAGCTCATGGCATGTTCATGACACAAGTGAATATTAAATCAGAATGTACAAACACAAATGCATATATACTTGAATTAACAAATGCAAACCTGATAAAAAATGTTATGTTACTCAGTTCTGTTTGGTTAGTTCTAAAGTAATCCTAGCTAACTGGACATGGCACAAACAGACCAAATCCACAGTACGTCTCATGTTGGTTATACATTAATTTAATTGTCATGATGTTCCTAAATGTATCAGGGACTTGTAACTAGGGTCAGTTATTGAGAAGCTTTATTACATATTCCCAGGGCTGCACATAAAACTGCGGTCCTATGTTTCATAATCTACATTTATTAATCTAGTTTAAATTATTTGAATATTACATAGCCCCCTCTCTAAACAACTGCTAAATATAAATTCTAGGTTTAACTCCTAATAACAACAAAGTCCTACTGATAAAGAAAGCAACGTTAATTTCAGTTTGGCAAAGCGGCCCATATTCTATAAAGGGCTCCATGTGCTAGACAACAAATTACAAGGTACAGATCTTTTGACAAATGTTGTGCCTTAATTCTAGGTAGAATCAAATAGAATAAAAGAGGCAATACACCTCATGCCACTAATAGAATGGGATCCACTATTTTCATAAGAAAAGGCAAAGAAAAACAAAGATGGGGTAAAGCACATGTTCAACTGCTTCTTCAAGAGATAATTACTTTAAACATATCTATTCTCAGGGCCCACCAGACATACCATTGTGCTGCTACCAAATTGATTCTGGCCCACATGATCCCATGCCATTGGCTGCTGTTGGTTAGCTGAGTAAATTAAGTTGCATGTTGCAGAAAGAATAGTTCTAATCCCACCACACATTTTGCCCAGTCAGTCACAAATGCAGTCACTTCTCCTACTGGTGCTTCTGCCAATACATGGGCAGAGTGACAGGGTCAGAAGTAAAAATTCTGGGAAGAGTCCCCCTCTGTTCTCTGCAGGAAGTATGTATTTCTTTAACCCCAAGAGAATATTGGTAAAACTGCATAACATCACAAGAGCTTTTCCTATTGACCAGGCAGATTACTACATCCAATAAAGATGTGGGGCCCTCTGCACTCTAAGCTTTTCATAAATTCACTGCAAGAGAATACCATATTTTTAAATGTCTTCCCCAGAGGCCCTCTGGAAGTCTGGAAACAGCTCCCATTATCTGCAGCTGGTGTAGCTCTGTTGAGAGTTGTAGTTGTAGTTCAGCATTAACTCTATCTATCTATCTATCTATCTATCTATCTATCTATCTATCTATCTATCTATCTATCTATCTATCATCTCCACCATTATTATTTTTATAACTAACTCAAGATGGCAAATGTACATAATATTCCTTCCTTTTC